ATAATTTCACTTTTGTCACTTTGGCATCTCCAAAATTTACATCAAGGAAAAGTCCCATGAATTCATGAGGAATTGAACAGGTATTGTCATTTTTACTCGGCTGATATTCTGCAGAGCATTACAGTAAAACAGATTGCTCACTTTGTAGAGCAGTGAAAGCCGGCAGATACTCTGCAGTGAGAAGGGGAGCAGGCAGCTCTCGGAGGAACAGCTTCAGGAGCCCGGCGACATCATGTGGATTAACTTCATCCCAAGAAAAGAGGCCGGCATAGAAATTCCTCTCCAGGCGCTGCTGTAGGGACTGAAACCAAGCAGAATAATGATACAGAAGTGCAGCAATGATAACAAGCAGTGCTTGAAATACAAATCATCATTAGAAGGCATAGAAACATTTTCATATATGGACATATGGTCCCTAGAATGGTCTGCAACATAGATGTGCTGGATTATTTTCACCTTGGCTAAAACTGAAAACATTATGGTTCTTAATTTTTATTTTCATCTTCAATTATGTAAGTTTTGTACAGTATTTTTCCGCCTTCTACAAAATGGCCGTCATAAAAAGAATAGCTTTTCCACACTGGTAGTTCTCAGTTATTCATTTGTTCTACAATATGGAGAGTCCATGTTGGGGGGAGTTTGGGGTGACACTATCACATGGCTGTGTTGAGGCTTCAGCAGTTCACAGGGTGGAGTCTCTAAGTTATAAGGTGCTGGTATACGATTTAACAAAAATATGACAAAGACATTTTATTTAAGATGGTACCAGTTCTTTCTTCGAAGTGTACAAACATTACTAATGCTCCCGACTGTCTGTCATGTTAAAAGGGACAAAACTGCTAGGCAAAACACATGTTGGTGTATTTATAAATAAAAAATTGCAGAGCTATTTTTCATGTTAGGCTGCATGTCCATTTGTGCTGTGTGAATGGGGACAAATGTAAATGTTATTAGGCTATTTTCTCTTCAGGTCGAATTTTTTTTTATTCATCCTGAATAGCATGAATTGGGAAGATACCAAATTATGGCCACTAGAGGGAGGCAAGTACTTTAATTGTCTGCTCCATATAGAATATACAATTCATTCTATTCTGTATGAATGATAGACATTCAACCTGGTGTCAGATCTGGGTGTTCTGCGTCATCGCGTCGGGCAGCGCATGCGCAGAACACCAACACTCACTACCCGGTGGGCGGTAGGACCTGGGCGCGCATGGCAGTGGCGGGGTTTGCGCATGCGCACTCGGGATCACGGACGCGTGCCTGGCACCAATGACAGCGGGAAGCGGGCTATTTAAACATAGGAACAGGTATGTCAAGTTGCAATTTGGTCTTGTATCTTGTATCCTGTTCCTGTGTTGCTGTATACTCCGTTGCCGACCTCTGCTTGTTCCTGATCCTGCTCTTCTCCTGCTTAAAACCTGGCTTGCCTGACTACTCTTCCGTCTGATCCCTGGTACTGTATTTGCCCGCATCCTGCTGAACCTGGCTTGTGGCCTGACCATTCTTAGCTCGCCCCTTTTGTACCTCGCTTCCCGCATAATACCGACCCGGCCTGTCTGACCACGCATACCGTACCCGACCATCCATCCATCCGGCTCGGATCAGACCAGTGTATCTGTCTGCCTCTTTCAAATTAGATTCCGTTCCTGCACTCCCCTGTCAGTACTCTCTACCACCGCAGGACGCACTCGGGGGTCGCGACCTGGTTCCAGTCTGCACCAAGTCCATCCCCACCATCAGGGGCCCTGGTGAACAGCAGGCTGGGACTTAAGACCCCGCACCCTGAGGGTGTCAATGCGGTGGGCTGCTAGAGACTCTGCCAGGCGGCTTAACACCTGGAAAGAAAATAGTGTTATAATATTTGTTTTTGCCCCCAGTTGTAAAGAACAAATGTACATGCAGTTATTTTCATTTTTTAATATAAATTAGTAATTTCTACTACTTCAACAGGGTGAAACCAGAACCGTGAAGTGATATAAGGCAATAAAATAAAGCACCTATTTCTATTAAACTGAAAATGTTACCTTAATCCGAGCCTGTGAGCCAGATATCCTTAAAATACCCTGAACATCTATGCCCTTCTTTTCCAAACATGTGAGAATCTGCAGAAAGGTAAAAACAAAAAGTCTTACTTTCTATTAATATCTCCAATTAACTGCTCCAATTAGTGCTATAGTGAATTAAACCAGGGCTCTCCAAACGTTATAAACAAAGGGCCAGTTTATTGTCCTTCAGACTTTACATAGGCCAGAGGGATTGGAATATTTTCTGGCATCAGTAAAAGTAAACATCAACACGTTTGATATTAGGGGGAGAAATAGTGTTCCGTTGGTGTTAGTTGGCGGAATAGTCTAGTTACAGTGGGAGAAAAAGTGACCCAAGGGCCAGATAAAGGCTAGAAAGAGCCGCAATTGGTCCCTGGGCTGCAGTTTGGATTAAACAATCGTTGGTGATGTGGATTGTTCCTGTTCTTAGTGTGGCAGTACCAGCACAGGTTGGGGGGTAGGAATTGAGAAAGCATGTTCCACCCATTCAATAACACCCACTATATGATCTGTATATTTAAGGTCACTATGAATGAGAGATGGAGGGTGGATATGTAACTGCTCTGCCTTCTGCAAACAGTGGCCACAGACATTCCTCTGCTTGCCATGCATTTGGATACTGGAAGCGATTTCAAATATAAAGCCCTAGAATTCACAGGTAATTAATGCATTTCAATTTTGCAATTTAAAGTGTCATGTTTAGCCAACATTATTGTTTCACACTGTTACAAAGGCAAATAAAGAGAGGACTTTGAACTTACCGCCTGAAGGATAAGCGGGACCTGCGTATTAGAAATCACCCTGCGGTCATGTTCCAGTAAACTGGTAAGCGGCACCCCAAAGAGTTTACTTTCTAACATGGGAAAAATAAACAGTAAACAAAACATAAGGGCCAAGAGATGAAATAACCAAAAGATAACGATATAAAACAAAAGAGAAACTGGTCAGTAAAATAGAGGCTCAAAATGTAAGGGTGCACTGAGAACCAAGTTGCTGAGGAAGCACACCAAGCAGATGAAAGAGACTAGTACAGTGGTTCTCAACCTTCCTAATGCCGTGACCCTTTAATACAGTTCCTCATGTTATGGTGACCCCCAACCATAAAATTATTTACCCAGTAATTATAATTCATGAGTGTCGTTTTACCTCCAATACTGCTGCTTTCAACACAGTACAACAGCTGCTTTCAACACAGCAGCTGCTTTCTACACAGTAGCTGCTCTTTACACATCGGAAATATGTGTTTTCTGATGGTCTTAGGGGACCCCTGTGAAAGGGTCTTTCGACCCCCAAAGGGGTCGTGACCCACAGGTTGAGAACCACTGGACTAGTACTTGTTTTTTTAGTACTTCCTGTTTTTTTGGGGGTTTTTTTTGCATAATTTAGGAGGTTCAGGACTGTATAATACGATAAAATAAAAAATTAAAAGTAGAACGACAAGGCAAAACTTTTTTTTTTTTAGTTTTGGATAGAGTGAAGAGGGATTAGACCACCGTCAGTTTTTATTGCTGTCTGTGTCACAGTTCAGGAGATTCACCCTCTCTATTTATCCTGTTCACCATTAACATTGAAAGTAAATAAAATCCAAAACTTTGGGTTGTCTCCAGAAAAGTAATAGAGGGGAAGCCGTCCAATTGGGATACTAGTTCTTCCTTCCTGTTTGGCTAGGGACAGGAAGTGAAGGGAAATCTCTGAAATGGGACACAGATGGCAAAAAAAAAAAAAAAAAAGATCTGATGGGTTATAACCCTCCCATCCTCTATCCAAAATGAAGAAAAAAAATGTGCCTATAGTTCTACTTTAAATAATTTTGTTTTTTATCCAGCCAGCAGATAGAGTACTTGGCTGCGTTTCATGTGGTTAACGCTGTGTATCTGCTTTGCGTAATATGAAAACCTCTGCTACCTCAGGCAGGGCAGTGAAAGTGGTCCATGGCAAATTCAATGTTCATAGACAACGATAGTACCATGCAGACTATTCTTGACACAATGGTTTCCTGTGTGAAGATGCATGAATAATTAGTGGACCTTCCCCAATAGCTGGCGTGCAAGGGAACCCTTCCACACTGTGCAAAGGGGTCATTCCTTACTGATCACCAGTGCAAAGGGGGGCCTTACCCCACTGATCACCAGTGCAAGGGAGCCCTTCTTTCCTGACCACCACTGCAGAAAGGAACTGCACTGACCATCAGTACCAGGGGGCCATTTTCCACTGTACACTTATGCAAGGGGACACTTCACCATCACTCTGCATAGTGTATACCCCTAACATACTCCTGATTGTAGCACGGTCTGTGTTTCTCTTCTAGCCATCAGAACTATTCGCTTAGTTTCATCATGCTGGTAGGTTAATTGGATCCTGTCTAAATTGGCCCTTGTATATGAATGTGAGTTAGGGAGCTTAGATTGTACGCCCCTTGAGGGTTAGGGATTGATGTGAATGTACAATATATATGTAAAGCGCTGCATAAATTGACGGCGCTATACAAGTACCTGAAATAAATAAATAAAAAAAAAATAATTACTGAAACAAATTTTGCTGTAAAAATAGGGGAGGGATGTTAAATTATAATTTAACATCCCTCCCCTATTTTTACAGCAAAATTTGGGTGTCAAATACACTACCAAGTCTTAAGTTTCAATCAAGGACAGAGTCTGAAAGTAAAGCCCATTGTAAATTGCATTCAATGGGTGCATAAATAGTAAAAGAAAAAAAAAGGTAAAGAAAGTTTACAATAATATGAACTTAAAACACCTCAGCTTTATAGTATCCCTTTAAAAAATAATAATAATTACAAAGTAGGTTCCTACCGGTAGCTTTACGCTTGGGGGCTTTGTTCCTTTTCAAGTCTAGTTCTAGAACGTCACAAAGAGCGGTCAGTTCTATAAGTGCCAATGTGGGTACCTGCTTCATGTCTGGTGAAGACAGGTCTGATACCCGCGTCATACCAAGTCGTCCCTTTTGGATATGAAAACGCTGTGTAAACAAAGAATATCATCAGTACTCAGTTATGAGAGACATTTGTAAATGTAGATAACTACATTACAAATCATAAGAGATAGCGCAGCCTAACTTTTGCTACGATTTTGTTCCACCACCTTCATCTGTATGTGTGACTGACAAGCTACAGGCTTGAGAATCAGCACTGACAATACAGCTTGAGAATCAGCACTGATAAGAATACAGCTTGAGAATCAGCACTGATAATACAGCTAGTCACACCAACTGCTAAATTTTCTCATTGCACCATAATGCAAGAAGGCAAAGCTTACATGAGATTGGCAACTCTGCTCTGAATTCAGGAGCAGTGCAGCATTGTTGCCACACCAACACAGGAAGCTGCATTAGGTGGATTTCCCTGGCAGGCTCAACAGATACGCCTATGACTTTGCAGGGTCACCAGGAGTAAAGTGCAGAAGCACTTACAATTAAAGCAGTATTAAACCCAAACCAAACATTTTATATATTACAGCAATCGTTTTATGTGGTGGCTGCAATAGTTTTCTTTTTTAGGTTTTTTCCCCTTCATTTTCACCTGATGATCTGACCAGTAACACACCTCCTGTATTAGGGTGCCTCCACTCTGGATAAAGGAGTACAGGAGCACCTTTGGAAAGCAGCATTGTCAGTCTGGGGGGAGGGGAGGGGTGTTAGATGTACTAGCAGATTTAGATACACTAACAAAATTCAAACTGAACTCCTGCTAATACTTTATAAGCAGTTCCAGCAGTTTGCTTCCTTTTGGGACTAAGGTTTTACATAAATAGAAGGTGGTCATTGTAAACACCTCACTAGTGTTAAATGGTTTGTCTCATCTCTGTAAATGACAAATCTGGAAGAGAGCTTGTTCTTTTGAAAACAACAGACTTACTGGCTGGTTCAGATGAAAATAGAAGAAAGAAAGCTTAAAAAAGAAAACTAATGCAGCCATCACATCTAAGAATTGGTAAGCTGCAATATAATAATAGTTTATAACGGTTTACTTTTGGGCTTAATACTGCTTTAAGTGCTGCGGTACATATTTTTTTTTAATGGGAAGCTATCATTTTACTTTAAAGTGCGACAGCCAATTCAAAGGCTCTGGGTGAGCCTTAAGCTACAAGTTTGTAAGAGAAGTACAAATGATTTGCACAAGCACCGCTGAAGTCAAAACACCAGACCAACAGCTTAATACACAAAATACATATTTGTAAACTGCATTACCAGCCAAAGAATTTGGCAGGATGTATAAAATGACACATCCTGGTACAGGACCCACCCCACTCAGACTGGACAATGATGGAGCAGCAACACATTGACGACCCCTGACCTACAACTGTGGACCAAGTCAGCAGGGGAACATAGGGATGTGTTAGCAAAATCTGTGGCTTTATCTAGATCAGGCCTTCAAAGTGCAGTTCAGGAGCAGTTCTGAGCAAATGTTCTACTAGTTTTTGCCAAGTTTCAACTGAAGTAAAAATAACACAGAAAATTCTATTTACAGATAAACTTCACCAATTTATAAAGATTTTATATATTTTACTTGATAATTTATGGAATCTAAACCATACTACTGAAATAAATTAGGGGGAGCTGGAAAAGGTTTTACTTTCAGCTTTTACCTTTTTTCACCAACTGTCTAGTTTCTTTTTTTTTTTTTTTTTCCACTTCAATTTGCCATGCTACTTGCATTTCAATATCTTATAAGCTGGAGGAAAATTAATTAGCGATATGGTGTGCAGTGAAACAAAAAGCATTCATTTTATTCATCCTAATAGACCAGTGACTGCAAACATGATTAGAATAAACCACCTAATTTAAAAGTGATTGCAAAGGTGTTACACAGAGATAAAATGCATTCTCCTACATAAGTGACATCTGTTTATCTGCAGTCTTTTCTGCTCCATATATCTGTTCAGAATGAAAAAAGCTTGTCTGAGTGTTCAGAAAAAAGGAGGTGGAGAGCTGAAGTCACCCCCTGCAGAGCTCAGATAGCCGATTGGATGGAAGGGACACACCCCCTTCACACAGCACACAGGCACAGAGCTGGAGCTGTCAATCTGCTGGAGCTCCCTCCCCTGTCACCTTTGTACTCTTGTTGTCAGGAAAACTTGTCAGAAGTGATTCATGCTGGTAGCAGAACAACGAAGCAGCACACAGAAATGCCACTTAGTGCTTTTAAAGTGGAGCTCCAGTTTCCCTCCCCAAAACAATTAAAAGTCAACAGCTACAAATACTGTATGAACTGGTCCAGGGATCCAGCGATGTGCTCACCTGAGCCGTTTCTTCAATCAGCTTCGGGTGCAGGAGCCGGCATCTTTTGTAAGGGCTGCGCTGTGCTGTGTGATCGGTCCGGCAGTCTTCTGGGACCTGTGTGTGTCCCAGAAGGTTGTGGGGGGGGGAAGGAGGAGGAGCCTAAAGATCTCCGCACAATCTTACCCGGAAATGGAAGCAGGTACCTGTCAAAACCAGGTACCGGCTTCCCCCATAAAAAGTGCCAAATGTGGCAGTGGATGGGAGGGGGAGGCAAACAAGTGGAACATCCCCTTCTGGGTGAAGTTTGCTTTAATTGAGACACCCTATAGAGGGATTTGCTTTATTTATATTTTATGTCTGAGATTTACAACCACTTTAAGGAAAAGCTAGGGGCAGAAAATATTGAGTTCCAGTGTTTAGGACACCTCCAGAGGTTCTGCACATAACCCCTACTTTCTTCTAGAAAATCTTGGGAACTTAAAAACCCTAGGGACACTCAAGTAAGTAAATGGTCCAGCTAATCAAAAGCAGTAGCAGGTGTGAAGGGATGAGTCAAATTCTTTTTGTGTCACTTTTGTGGCTTGATAACTTATTTGCAGAACAAAGATCCTCAGGTTTTAGGGCTCCTAGGGTACACTAGGAGAAAGTACAGTATATGTGAGGAAGGGGAAAGGGGGGTGAATGTGAGCACTCCTGGCAGCACCTGCTTTTCACTGTATGTGGCACTTTACTAACCATGTTTGCCCATGGGTACAGTTTAAGCAACCCCATACATATTTTGTTCAGCCATATTATGGATCTTACAGGTAGCTTTTCTGGTTTGCGGTCCGTTTTGCAGTCCTCATGTTGTCCAAATGTCGCTTGTTCTGAATATGCAATTTCTGTATCAAAAACATTAGATGCACTGGGGCGTCTATTGAGTAGGCTGTGGGTAGCTGTTAAAATAAATAAGTACATTGTGATTTTGCTGTTATCGGAATCATATGCTTGGTCATAATGCGCTGATGAGGGGATTTAGCAAGCAGGTTATTATTGGAAATAGGTGCCTACCTAATATGTCTTAAACTGCCTCTCACTAAAGCAGGCCATAGATGACTTGATTTTCTTTACTTTCAGGTGGAAGGAAAGAAAATCACTTGATTTCCCCATCAACATAGTCAGCTATGTTGTTGTTTTTTTAATTTGCCATTTTTTTCCCCCACACAAAAGTGAAGTTACCATTCAAGAGAAAAATTCGCAATTTTTTAGCCCACTTATGCCAGGGAAGACAACTATAAATGACTAGTATAATGCAAACCAACTTCAGAGTCAAACTCATGCTTGTTTTGAAGCCTGAAGTAAATGCATTCAGGGATATCAATAAGAAAGGGCCATGAAAATGTACTCTGTACCTAGACACTGAGCACTAGGTGTCTCAATACACCACAAATTAAATAAGAAAAGGACAGAATCTCTGAGGATTTAAACCGATTTCCTAAAAGGTATTCCATAGCTCACTAACGGTGCACTTCCTTACTTAAAGTGGAGTTCCAGTCAAACCAAAAAAAAAAAAAAAAAAAAAAGTCAGCTACAAAAACTGTAGCTGTGAGCTGCTGATTTTATAAAAACACCTACTCACCTGTCTTCACCGGCCGTCCTCACTCTCTGGCGCCAGCATTCCAAGTGGGGGCACCTGGCTGTGACAGCTTGTGGCTTCACAGCTGGGTGCCCACTGGGCATGAGCAAGTAGCACTGCACCTTGTGAATGGTCTTATAGTCTTCTGGGGCCTGTCACGTGTCCCGGAAGACTATGGGCAGGGAGGGGGAGGACAACTTTTGCTTCTGATTGCCTAGGTGGTCACAGCAGAAGTTGCAGCGGGTACCTGTCAAAATCGGGTGCCCGTTCCCCAAAAGATGCCAATTCCTCATGGGGAGCAGAGGACAATTAAAAGCAGAACTTCCCCTTTTGGGTGGAGCTCCGCCTTAATTTTGCAGTTCCATAGTTCAAATGCTATTTTCTTAAACATACGTGAAAAATGGAGATCTCAGCTTGAAAGTTGCAATAGTCTTATATATAAAATAAAGCATTATCCAGAAATATCTTCATTATGTACTTTATGAAAATTAAATTATGAGCACGTATAATTATTTTACAGGTTCAGAAACCACCAAAAAAAAAAAAAAAAAAAAAACTAACAAAAATATAAACAAAGCAGTAGATTTACATTTTGGAGTGTTCTCGCTGCTACTTCTGTTGTCTTCTGTTTTACTTTCATCATCTGTCTCTTTTTCTTCCAAAACATCGTCCTGTTTGAGGATAAAGAAAAACGGAGAATGAGTTCCCTGGTTCATCCATCCACTCTGGCTATTTTGCACACTTCACATCTTGGATGTCACATTTATTTTATATTCACAAGAAACAAATCAAAGGTGTGAGTGCTTTCCTCTGAGAAAACCAGTGATGAGCCAGTCTTCCAAAATCCATCAATAAGTGAAATATAGGTTTTTGATAGACTGACCTATTAAAGTCTAATAAAGAAAACCTGTAAACTTGAATAAAATATGTGGAAAAAGGGGGAATCCTTTTGGCCAATAATATCAAAATTTTAGGGCACATAGAAAGAATATTGTCAGGTCCAGCCTCCCATATTAGCTGTACTGTACTGTGTTGTTAGAGTGAACCCAACCTGGACTAAATTGTTTCCAAGAGAACAACAACGCTGAACTGTACTGTAGGTACCCTGTAGTGCCTGCAAGCACCTATGTTATTCTTCAGATTGATTTGAGAGGTCCTCTGGAGCTTACCTGGATCCTAAGCCCCAGTGCCACATGAAGCACAACCTCTCTATAAATTAAAGTTAAGCCCCAACCCTTTCCGGCACTAATCACTAACCATCATTCAAATGTGAAACACCAGAACCAGGGGCGGACTGACAACTCATGAGGCCCCCAGGCAACAGGGGATCATGGGGCCCCTGTGTTCTTGCCCAAACTCAAAAAAGCCTAGGAAAAAAGGTACCAGGGGCATCTCATGGGTCCCCCTACTGACCCCGGGCCCTCGGGCAGTGCCCAAGTTTCCAAATGGTCAGTCCACCCCTGACCAGAACCTTCACTGCCTTTGACATTCTGCCATTTGACTGTTAAATGACAGACAAGCTTAGTGCAAGGAAGAGGCAGGACTTAAAGTGGTTGTAAACCCTTACATATGCCCAGTGAGGTGACTGGCCTCAGGTGATACACAGAGATGAAACAAATCCTCCTACATAAGTTGTACCTGTATCTGCAGACGTCTCTTCTCTATACCTGTTCAAATTGCTGAATATATAAAGCGTTCAGAAAAAGGGGGTGGGGAGCTGAAATTACACGCTGCAGAGCTCAGTGAGGGGAGCTGTGAGAGAGGATTGAAGGGAAGAGACACCCCCCCCCCCTCTCCACACAGCTCACAGGAACAGACCTGAGGCTGTCAATCTGCTGGAGGTCCCTCCCCTGTCACCTTTTCTCTTGGTGTCAGGAAAACTTATCAGAAGTGATTCATGGTGATAACAAATCAACAGGCAAAAATGACACTTAGTGCTGCTCTTAATTGAGACAAGTACACACTATAGAGGAATAAGCTTTGTTCATAGTTTACATCTGAGGTTTACAACCACTTTAATCTTGATATGATCAAAAGTTTAGGTTCCATGTTTATCTCAACCTTTTTACTACAGAGGAAGCCTTGAAATAATGTTCAGGTCTAGCGGAACTCCTGCTAAGACCAACGTAGCCATTGTCAGGTGGCCAGTGGAAAGAATGCCCCCCTTACAGTGGTGACTAGAATGCTACCCTTACAGACAGCTAAAGAGTCAATTGGTGTCATGCAACTGGCTCTGCCATGTGCCGATGGACCCAGATCTATGTAGGCACCATCAAATGGAAGGTCTATCAGCTATAGCTCAAGGAACCCTTAATAACCTCTTGAGGCACCCTAGTAGAGAATGGTTGACGTACAGCCTTGCACTACAATATAAATGACTTCATAAGGGTACAGGCATGCCTTTACTTTAGCACTAAAGTTACTTTAGAAACAATAAGGTTGATTTACTGAAATTGGAGAGTGCAAAATCTGGTGAAGCTGTCCATGGTAGCCAATCAGTTTCTAACTTAAGCTTTAACAAAATAACTGGAAGCCGATTGGTTTCTTTACAGAACTGCACCAGATTTTGCACGCTCTAAATCAATCGTAATGCTGTATAAACACACCTTTGTTAATGATGCCTCTCTCCAACCCAACAATAGCAGTGTTCCTGAATATTCATTATATCTAAAATGGAATGATCCAGATCACAGAACCATGAAAGTCCCCAGTTCAGAAAATTATTCAAACAGAAAAAAAATTTCCAGATTTTGTCTACCTCTGTATGAGTTGGTAGCACTTACTGCAGGGAACACTTCTCGGACATCTCGTACTGGCTGCTTGTAACGTTTCCGAAGAGAGCGGCTATAACTGTCCAGTCGACGCTGTACAGCCGCAGTCTGCGTTCGGGTAAGGGTCGACAAAATGAGTACATTGCCTTCTGTAGGACTGGGGTCACCGATGAGAGGAGAAAGACCGGTGTCCTGCAGCCAGTCTGCTTCTGCTTCTCCCTCTAATACCAAAAATGAACACGTCAGTTCACAGTATCTAAACCAGTGTTCAAGTTTAACAGCCTTACCACTCCCTATATATATATATATATATATATATATATATATATATATATATATATATATATATATATATATATATATATATATATATATATATATATATATATATATATATATATATCTCTCTATCTATCTACACACACACACACACATATATATCATACACACACACACATACACATACATGTGTATATATATATATATATATATATATATACATATATATATATATATATATATATATATATATACATACACACACACACACACACACATATATACACACACACACACACACACACACACATATATATATATACACACACACACATATATATACTGTGCATAAAAACAGACATCAACACACATTAAAACAAAGTTTACATAAAGCTGAGTTGATTTATACCGATAACAATCACCTAAAACACACTTAACAACAAATAAATACACAGACAGCAGACGTTCTAATCTTCACTCTTATTCCTGGTCGGGGACTCAATAAATCAATCACTCTTTACAGGTTTAAGGACGAATTTAAAAGAAAAAAAAAAAACCTTTGCAGTCGGGATCGCCTCACATTGCAAGGGTTAAATGCACATTTATGCATAGGGTACCAGGAACAGATTTTTACTAGCATAATCTTTCCCTTTCCAGGCAGCTGCCAATCAACTCTTTTCTCTGAAGCTCTGGTTTGTGGGCAGTCCCTTGACTGGCCACTGCATTGCACATAATGACATCAGAGTGTGCACAACTGTTGCGGCACTTTAGATAGGAGCCTGAGGGAGCCAACCTTATTGCATGGAAGGAGTCTGCAGGAGGGAAGGATTAGGTAAGCAGAGGTCCTTTTTACTGGTATCCTAGGCATTATTAAGCATTTAACCCTTGCAGTGTGTTTTTGAAGGGTATGCAATGGGAATTTTTTGGTTTTCCCAGGGTCCAGCTTTAAAGCTGACTTCCAGACATTAATCCAAGCATGTCTCCCTATTAAATATGACACAGGCTTTAACACTTACCCACATTATTCAGGACTACATTAAAGGTTTTGGCTGTAGAAGGGCTTAAAGGATAAGTTCACCTTTCCATAATCAGGGTGTAACATGCTACGATCAGACTGGCCCCCACTTTGACAGCTAGCAGGGGATCTTCTCCCCCCTTGCTAGCTGTCAAATTTAAATTAAACATGGCCATGTGGGGCTCCGCCCGTCCGGCTGCATCACTCATTCACAGTCCTCTGTGAATGAGAGACTACAAGTCCCGACAGCATTACCGGCTGTCAGCTTGTAGTCCTCAATGAACTACCATGGCTCTGTGCAGCGCTGTAGTAGTTCATGGATTCTTCCTGTCAGTAAATCCCATACGGGCAAGCAGACATACTGACAGGTGTGCAGGAGACCTGCATGGCACCAGCAATCTGCTGATTGCTGGTGCAATGCTTTACAGGCTCCTGAAGACAAAAATAATAAATGCACTTTAAACGTGTCATGCTTTAAAATAGTGCATGCCCATGGAACGGTGTAAAACTACTGTACATTAAATTATCCATAGGCAATGCTTTAAAAGCCATTACAGGTTACCACTTTACATTTACACAGCAGTTCTGGTGCCAGAATTATTTATCTTACTCTGATGTTTGCAGTGATACCTCACATGAGGTGTGATCTCTGTTTACATATGCATGCAGGACTGCCATGTGCATTTGCCTATGCAAGCGAGCACTTATTTTTATATTTACGCTGTACCTTTAAATTTTTATCACTTTTATTGCTATCACAAGGGATGAACAATATTTCTAGTGATAGCATAGGCCATGACAGGTCCTCTTTATGGAGAGATATGGGGTCTAAAGCAGCCAAGATCAGTTTAATCTGCTGCTAGACAAGCCGACAATGGCTTGTAAACAATGGAACCGAAAAAGGAAGTGACAAAATCGTAGTCACTTTTGGTTTCTGACATCACACAGTGGGAGGAACAATCTCACTGTGTTCGGGGAAGTCAATGCCGCTGGTGGTATCCTTTCTGGGCTCCCTGATTGCTCCGGAGAGTCCAGTGAAGGCAATGTTAGAAGGGGGGTGGGACCCCCTTCCACTGCCTATTAAAGCAATCCAGCAGCTTCTTAGCCGCTAGCATTATCTTTACAGTGAAGGGAATTGCAAGCAGAAGAAAATGATATCTCAATCATTGCTGCAGCGATGACGTGGTTGATAGTCAAGTGGTTAAAATACAGTTACCCAAGCCAGCTGAGGACAGAAGCTGATTGCTTGCCATGCACAACTGCTCCAGATTCTGTCTGCTCTAGTTTTTAAATAAATGCATAATGGGGGGAATTTTATCAAAAGAAAGTCACCTACTTGATTAAAGTTTATATAAAGCAAAATATTTTTGTTTCAGATAGAGTGGAGAAGATATGGAGATTTCTCTTACTTCCTGTCAGCATTTTACCAGACTGGAAATGAAGGGAAATCATCAGCTGCAATAAAAGACAGAAATAAAAAAATATATATACCTGTATTTTTTTTTAGGAGATCAGGGGAAAGAGAACCATTGTTGGGACAAGGTCTTCTAGTGCTTAGGGCAAAGAAGCAAAACTGCACCCTCTTCCCCCCATTTTTATTATGTGCGCTTAGGGAATGCTACTCCCATGTAGTCATCTGCTTGTCAAAATGCCTGGTATCAGGATGAGCTCACTGGGGCCCCATCCATACAGTAACCACTGCACCCAGGGCAGCCGCCCCTCCTGCCCACCCCTTGTCCCAACCCTGGCTAGAACCCTGGTCAGATTTTTATTTTTGTCTGTTCCTGTTACAGATTTTGCCTCACTTCCTGTTTGGTAAAGCAACCATCAGTGAAAATCTCTCAAATGAAGCTCCAGACAGCAGTTAAAACTTGATGGGGTTCTCACCCTTACTTCTGTAAAACTTTTGGCCTTACATATAGCACACTTTAAAAAACAAATACTTGTAAATTCTAAAGTGTAGAAACCTAGCATAAAATACATGAACATTTTGAAATCACTTGGATTTATGATGTACATGGGCTATCTACACGGCTGTAATCACATAGTAACCTCTAATATATGCAGCAGTGGAGAATGATCGTTCTGTAACAATTCACTCCATTAATCTAGAAGGATACAGTTAGATCATATAGAACATCATATACCTTCTAGGGTGCTGGGTTCAGAGGAACTGCTCTCCTCTCCATCAGATCCACGCATCTGCTTGATGTTCTCCACCTCTAGCCAAAAATCACTCATTGAAAGAGGGTCAGAGTTTTCCCTGGGGCTTGACTCGGCTGGAGGCAGATTCATTTCGCAAGGGTAAGACTGCAAACTGTGGGAGACAAGGACACATGAAGGATAAATAAGCAGCAAAGACACTGGGCAGTATTCATGGTGGGGTCGTGCAAAGTACATAGCGCTTATGACCACGTAAAAAAAAAAAACAAATAAAATGTGAGATTATATATATATATATATATATATATATATATATATATACATATACATACATACATACATACATACATACATACATACACACACACTTACTTTTGTACAATTGCCAAATGGAGCAGAGTTTCACTCTTATAACTCTTTGGCGCAAGTACAGTCTTGAAATTACCCAACTTGTGTTGACATCACCAAAAAACATCAGACTTTACTGATGCATGCCAACAATAACTTTTATTCAAACTCCTTTCTACACAGAAAAATAATGCAAAGGTTATCTAGCTTAGATTTTGACCAAACAAAATGGTAAAAGTGAGAGATCCATGCATGTCAAACCAATTGTTTAAAAAAATGTGGTAATTTCATTAGTCTGATCACATCAGCAAAATACTAAACTGTGTGATGCAGTGAAGCACAGGAATGTTGTAATGTACTGGAGTGGTCGTAATGTACTGGAGTGGCATACAAGATCAATGGAACTGGAGTGGTCGTAATGTACTGGAGTGGCCGTAATGTACTGGAGTGCAATACAAGATCAATGGAACTGGAGTGGTCGTAATGTACTGGAGTGGCATACAAGATGAATGGAAGCACACTGCAAATCACCCATTACCATATTTTGCGCAATGAGGAATTTACCACCTTATTGCAAGGTGAAAATGTGAATGGGCCCTTAACCAGGTCCAGGCCAATTCCGACATTCCTCTCCTGCATGTAACAAACATTTTGTTGAGCTACACAGGAGGTCTTCAGCTCCAATTATTGTTCTTGCTCTGACGTTTGCGGTGATATGTCACATGTGTGGTGCAATTGCCATTTACATACAGTGCCTTCAAAAAGTATTCATACCCAGTGAAATTTTCCACATTTTGTCATTTTACAACCAAAAACAAAATGTATTTTATTGGGATTTTATGTGATTGACCAACACAAAGTGGCACATAATTGTGAAGTGGAAGGAAAATGATAAATAAATATCTGAAAAGTTTGTATTCAGACCCCCTGAGTCCATACTTTGTATAACCACTTTTTGCTGCAACAGCAGCTGGAAGCCTTTTTGAGTATGTCTTTACCAGCTTTGCACATCTAGAGTGAGAAATTTTTGCCTATTCTTCTTTGCAATAGCTCAAGCTGTCAGATTGGATGAAGAGTGTCTGCAAACAGTAATTTTCAAGTCTTGTCACAAATTCTCAATTGGATTTAGGTCTTGACTTTGACTGGGCCATTCTAACACATGAATATGCTTTGATCTAAATCATTACACTATAGCTCTGGCTGTATGTTTAGGGTCGTTGCCCTGCTGGAAGGTGAACTTCTGCCCAGTCTCAAGTCTTTTGCAGACTCTAACAGGTTTTCTTCTAAGATTGCCCTGTATTTGGCTCCATCCATCTTCCCATCAACTCTGACAAGCTTCCCTGTCCCTGCTGAAAAAAAAAGCATCCCCACAACATGATGCTGCCACCACCAAGTTTCACGGTGGGGATGGTGTGTTCAGGGTGATGTGCAGTGTGTTAGTATTCCACCATACATGGTGTTTTGCTTTTAGGCCAAAAGTTCAATTTTGGTCTAATCTGACCAGAGCACCTTCTTTCACATGCTTGCCATGTCCCCCACATGGCTTCTCGCAAACTGCAAACAGGACTTCTTATGGCTTTCTTTCAACAATGGCTTTCTTCTTGCCACTCTTCCATAAAGGCCAAATTTGTGGAGTTCGCAACTAATAGTTGTCCTGTGGACAGATTCCCCCACCTGAGCTGTGGATCTCTGCAGCTCCTCCAGAGTTCCCATGGGCTTCTTGGCTGCTTCTCTGATTAATGCTCTCCTTGCCCAGCCTGTCAGTTTAGGTCACAGGTGTCAAACTGGCGGCCCGCCAGCTATTACCAAAATACAAGTCCCATGAGGCATTGCAAGCTTAACAGTTACAAGCATGACTCCCAAAGGCAAAGGCATGATGGGACTTGTAGTTTTGCAACAGCTGGAGGGCCACTAGTTTGACACCTCTGATTAGGTGAAAAGGACATGTCTTAGTAGGTAAGCAGTTGTGCCATACTCCTTCCATTTTCGAATGATGGATTGAACAATGATCCGTGAGATGTTCAAAGCTTGGGATATTTTTTTTTTATAACCTAACCCTGCTTTAACCTTCTCCACAATTTTTTCCCTGACCTGTCTGGTGTGTTCCTTCACAACTGAGACACACTTATTTTAAAAACATAATTTGTCTTCTCTATCAGTAGGGATGGTTTCATCTTAGGACCCTAGGGCACCATTACTACCCTACAGGCATGGACCTACCTTCATATAATACACAAAAACGTACCTGCTTCACTGCCATAATTTTAGGGTACATCCAAGTATCATCATACATTCCTATCTGCTATGAATCTCCTGCCTGGTGCTTGGTGACCTCCTTTATATTCCATCTGTTAACTTATGGATGGGGCACACACCACCCACCATTACAGCCTTCCCATCCACTCATTCCCTTCTCACTCCTGCTCCTTTCTTTCCCTCTCCCCCTCTTAAGCTATTCTACTTTCTTCTTGCCTTCCTTTTCCCTTGTTGTTATATACTGTACAAAAAGCTACATAAAAGGCCTTTTCTTCTACCTTCATTGAGGTTCATGTTTCGTAGACTATATTTTAGTACTTTTTTTTACCTGTTTATATTACGCTTTCATGCCTGGAACCCTTTACATTGTTCACTGTCAGTATGTAGCATACTTTGAACAAGCAATTCAAAAGTAGGCCACCCCTCCGCCTTATGGCCTGAGGGTTGCTATGCTGTCCTACTAATGTTCTATTAACTTATTGTTTGACTGGGTGATTCTGTCTTTGCTTTATATTGGGGGTCAGCAACCCGTAGATTACGATCTACCAGTAGATCGCAGCCAGGTGACTAGCAGATCGTGGTCCATGAATGTCAGGAGTTGTAGAATTTATTTTTGTTTGTGATACTGGAGAGAAATATGCAGACATAGCCGTAAAAACACGGCAAACCAGCTTTTTATGGACTTTTTTAAGCGAAAAAAAAAAATTTTTGGTAAAAAAAAAAAAATGCAGCAAAAGACTAAAAAACACAAATGCGAAAAAAAACCTGCACCAACGCGAATGCAAAATGCTGAAAAAAACCTCATGTCTTTAACGTGACTTTATACAGCTAACGTTACCAGCGTTATTAAAATGCCCCATGCCCTACGTGTGCATGGAACCTTAATGTTTTTTCAGCTGCTCCTAGAGGCGTCTAGCATTTTTTTCCTGCTTCTAAACACATCTGAATGTTAGCCTATGTGTCCATGCACACATAGACATATAGAGGCAGGAACAAAACACAGCCAGTGAGTCCAGGAGCAGCAGAGTTTTGGCAGAACAAATGCTTAACACTTTTAAAACATGTGTAAACACACGCATAGACGTGCATTAATGCTAGATTTAATGCTAAATAATGATTCTGGCCAATAAATTAATTAACACTCAAACACTTGCGGTGGCTAAACATGTCAGACCATTTTACAAGACCATTTCTGTCAAAATGATAGAAAAATGTCTTGTGTGAGCAACGTGCAGTTCCAAAAAAATATATTTTTAATTCATAATTTAGGAGGCAGACAAAACACAACTGTATATCGTTTCAACTCTGGTGCAGCCGAGTTGAACAAAAAATAAATTATTTTTTGTTAGTTTTACTTGTGTAATAATAAAATATGATATATCTAATAAAATTTACCTCCAGAAGAAAGTCCAACTTATCCTGAAAAAAAGATATAATTCACCTGGGTACACTAAATAGTTGCAAAGATACGTACAGGTTTACGAACATACTAAAGTTGCAAAACTGCATTCAGGCGTTAAGATTTGTTTCACCTTCATGATTATGGGGTCAAGAAGAAATATCTTCATGCCAGACTTGAGAGGTCAGGGATGGCTTGTTTCAATTCTCTATTGCTGCTTATTAACAATATGCAAATAATTTACTGTCCATTGTCTGAGCACAGGTGCCATTGAAGGTGGCCATGAGTACAGACAGTTATACGAATGGATAACTTTGGCATAATCCTTTAGCACAGCCTGGATGCATTGAACACTGCAGAGGATTTTACTACAGCAGACCTAAGACAGCATTGTACTATAAAATAGAATACCCAAAATACATTGAATACTATATGTGCACGTTGATGAAACTGGGACTGCTCATGGGGTCTCCATTTGTTTTGGTCACTTCCTGCTATATATGGCCGTCTTATGATCTGCTGATGGACAAGGGAAATGCCAATAAAAGTACACAAAAAACGTACACTCACCAGCCACTCAATTAATTACACATCTTACTAGTATTGCTACCCTACCCGTGCCCTCAGCTCCTCACAGGACCTCCTACTCTCTAGCTCCCTGGTCTCCTCCTCCCACGCCCGATTGCAGGACTTCTCCAGGACTTCCCCCATCCTCGAACTCCCTACCCCAATCCATCAGACTGTCGCCTACCCTCCTCACCTTCAGGCGCACCCTGAAAACCCTCCTCTTCAGGGATGCCTACCCCAACCTTACCTAACACCCGACCTCACCTAACAACTAACCTCCTCCACTCCTCCCACCACTCCATCCCCCACAGCCATCTCCTCCTGTGCCACCTTCCCCTCCCTCCTAGATTGTAAGCTCGAAAGAGCAGGGCCCTCGAACCCCTCGTGTATTGTATTGTTACTTTCTTGTCTCATGTTCTGTCCCCCTTGCTATTGTACAGCGCTGAGCATACCCTTTGGTGCTATATAAATACTGTATAATAA